TTTTGCTGTTCTGTTAAATTACATTCTTTTAACCCACGAGTTTGGCCCTGTCATTTTCTTTTTCCACGACTGCGGGAGTTGTGCGAGCGGCTGCGTGGTTCTTTGTTGCTGGCTGAGGCCAAACCACGACAGTTCTTTTTGGCGCCCAACGTGGGGCACGAAGGGTTGCAATAACAAATTTCTTGTATTCATTTCCCATATTCGTTATATAGATGCTGGTTACAATGTTACTTCGTTTGTTTGCGTGGCTCTGCTTTGCAAATTCTTATATGCTCTATCTACTCCCCGTGATGCTGTTTGTTATCTCGGGGAGAGGGATCAGGGCTATAATTTTGCTGTCATGTGCAGTATCGGCTTATGATATGGTAACATCACTGTTGAAGTGGCTTTGTTGGGGTGTCTATGCACTATTGCTGTCTTGTCCATACCTTGGTTATCATCTTTCAGAAGTTATTAATAATATCACCCAATCTATGGGAGAAACAGGGGGAGATACTTTCCCCAGCTCTTTTGCCTCCCTTTTCTCCTTTGGGCCAGATATGACACCTCTTGAGAACTTTGAATATCCTTGGGATGCTCAAACCAGCATGTTTCTATTGCTATGCCTGCTGAATGTTTTTCAGATCTTGTTTAGGGTTAAGCAACTGCTTAAGTCTACCACCCAGAGATCTGCCCCAAGGCTGGATAGTCAGGGGTGGCATGGCATGTGGGAGAATATGGGCAGGTATCTAGAGAATTTCTCACCTCCAATGGTTTGGGACTTCACCCTCGAACAACTCCAGGACCCTGATAAAGTAATAGAATATTTAAAAGGAAAATGCTGTGGCTACTCCAGAGAGGCACAACTTACGGCACTGTGCTGGGCCCTGGCCAGTATCTACCAAACACTGCTCAGTACTATGCAGGACCCTCAGGGAAAAAAGAGGGAAATTAGATTGGCAGACAATGTGGCTACTCCGACCCCGGTGCCAGACAATGTGGCTACTCCGACTCCAGTGGCAGACAATGTGGCTACTCCGACCCCGG